TTAATTATATTTCCAATAAAATCTTAAAGCATATGGAACATATTTGGATACAGATTTAAACAAACTAAAAACAAAAAAAACCCTATGTGGCAATTGGGAAATTTTAATATTAACTAGATATTTGATAATATTTAGAAATTACTAGCTCTGATGACATTTTATGGTTATCCTTTTAAAAGGATTATCCTTCAGAGATACATTTTATAATATTTATGAACGAATGGCATGATATCTGTGATTTGTTTCAAAATTATCTGGGGTGCGAATGGAGGGGTAAATGGAACACGACCGGCATGGGTGGATAACTGTTGAAGATAGTACATTGGGTTTCAATTAACTATTTTCTCCACTTTTGTGCATGCTCGAAAGTTTCCATATTAAATATTAGAGCCATAGGATGATAATAATAACAAAAGCATTTATTAACCAAGACAGTGCAAGGCATGTGATTCTCACAACCCTGAAAGATGGAGCCATCAACTCCATTTTGAAAAAGGCTGATGGTGGGAAATGAGACTCAGTCCATATGAAGTAAAACTAGATTCAAATCCAAGTGTGAGTACAAAGGCTTGTTCTTCATGGTAGAGAGATACAGAGCCAATATAGAGTCTGAGGTAATAGAGATGAGGTTGTAAGTGAAAAAAAAAATCCACGGTCTTACTATTGCTTATGCACTTTGCAGACTTAAAATGTTTACGTGTATTTCCCATGGTTGAACTAAGTGTGGAGATCTCATTGACCAATGAATGTGTACACATCCAGACAGTCCAGAAAAACCTCCTCGTTCATTTACATGTGTTGACAGTGACAGGAGTGAGAGCAGTGACTGTTTATAAGAACTGTATGAATTTCTCAGTGCTTATTTACTTTGCATTTTTGAAATTATGTTGAGACCTCTTCCAACTCTCATCGGTCACCTGGTTTGAACTTACTAAAGAGCATTAAAGTAATTCTAAATACGGAAACGTTTCTGAGCAGTCACTCGACTGAAGAATATGGTTTGTTTGTTTGTTTTAGCTTTTTAAAAACTGAGAGATTTAACAATTTTTAAGACATGGAAAGATGCTGAATTATATTTAAGGACTCTGAGAAACTAGAGAAGAGACACTAGTGAAATGTTGGAAGAGCAAAAGAAACTTCAAGGGAAGATAAAGAACAATAAAGAAAGAATCACAGCCGAAATGAGAAGTGGAAGGACTAACGTGATAGAACCATGATCCTGGGATAGTCACTGAGTTATACCTGAAGCGGAACAGCATAACAGAGGAACTGTGGAACGCCACTGCGCACTACGTGGCAGGATACCAGGGACAGACAGACACACCGAATACACAAACCGCTACCATGCTGGAAAGGCTTCCCCCCACTCACACAGTATTTGCCACACTTATTCTCTCCAGACAGTTGCATACAGAAGATCCGATAGAGAAGACACGTGAAAAACACAACACGAAGATGGCCTTTACATCCGTGGTGCCAAAGTTAAATTACTGATGCAACCTACCTGGAAACAAGCCACCCTTCTTTTTCTAACACACATCCAGATTCGCTACTTCATCTCACCACAAGCTGGAATTCATTCATTCATTCGACAAAAATTTATTGGGTGCTTCCTATGTATCAGGCACTGTTTCAGACAATGAGGATATTGTAGTGGGACTTTCTGGTGATGGGAAGAAAGACAAATAAAAAAACTTTATTAGGTGATACATGCTACACCGAAAAATAAATCAGTAAATAACGATATGGAGTGTCATAGGGGAGTAGGAGGTTACAATTTTAAATACAGCCATCAGAGGTCTCCTTGAATAGGTGACTTTAGGATAAAAAAAAAAAACCTGACTGAAGGAGGGAGGGAGCCATGCAGAATTATATGGGAGAAGAGCATCCTAGGCAGCGAGTAAGAGGCCTTGAAGCAGAGCATACCAGATTGTTCTAGAAACAGCAAGGGGACCAGTGCAACCGGAACGGAGTGAGTGAGGGGAATGTGGTAGGAGCTAAGGACAAAGAGAAGGTAGGTGGATGAAAAGATGACACAGGTCTGTGTAGGCCAGTCTAAACCCTCTCGTTTTTGCTCTGAAAAGGCACTGGGAAGTTTAGAGCAAAGATGTAACCTGATGTGAAATGTTTTAATTATGCCATGTTGAGACAAGACTGAGGAGACCCAGGCGGTAGCAGGGAAGCCAGGTAGGAAGATATTTTAATAATCACAGCAAAAAAAAATGAGGGTGACCTGGACCAAGGTGGTATGTCAGTGAAGGGGGAGAGAAGTGGTAAGATTCGAGATATGTTTGGAATAGCTGAAATATTAGATTTATGAGAGGATGAGAGGAGTCAAGTATAGCTGCAAGATTTTTCACTTGAACTACTAGAGGGATGGAGCTGCCATGTACTGAGGTGGGGAACCTCAGTAGGTCGAGGAGGAAGATCAAAGTTTGGATGAGGACGTAGGTTCGAGATGCCTCGCAGACACCAAGTGGAGGTATGGGATAGGCAGAGATATCCATCTGGAGTTCAGAGAGGTCCAGACTGAGATAGGCACAAGGTCTGAAGCCGAGAAACTGGACCATTGCCAAGGGAGTTAAGCATAGAGAAAAGGGAAGAGTTCCAAGAACTGAATTCTAGAGCTCTCCAATGTTTAAAGCTCAAGGAGGTGAGGAAGAATCCCAACTAAATGGCCCGCAAATGATGCAAACAAATGAGGACAAATTACTCATAAAGAACAAGTAATAGCTTGAACTTGGATAGAATTCTCATACCACACATTCCTCTTATTCTACTGATATGTATTCAAAACAGTCTCTCATTCATTTAGTATTTGCAACACCCATCAAGAATTCACAGGAACAGGCTTTCGACAGAATCTGCTTATATCTTCTGAAATCTGCACTTAGACCCAGAAAACTATATTTGTTCTTAAGAGTTTGATTATAATTTCACTAAGCTATCAGAAAAGAATGAGATTATAGTTTTTACTATTAAATACGTAAAAATGCAATAAACAAATTAAGATCTGCTAGAATCACAGATGTGATTACACAGGGTTCAGCTAGCAATGATTTACAAGTTTCTTTTGAATCTACATAAAAGAGTGAACACTCTTTGGGAGAAAATATAGAGGGAGGTGTTGGAGCAAGTTAAGAAATAAATAGAATGGTGCCGAAAGTAATTAGCCTAATGAGAGAGAAGGTTGGAGAAGCTTCTTAAAAGGAAATTATAATAATCATTGTCAGAAAGTAATTCCCCAAATGTTAAAGGTGGAAGACTTGATTTAAGTTTCCTCTCCTCTTGTCCTTTTGGGGTGAAGCATATTAGCAGAAGCCTTTTTGAAAGCAGTTTAGCAATATGGATAAAGAAACATAGAATACGCATGTTCAAAATGGCATAGACACTGTGGAAACAGTTCGTCAGTTTCTTATAAAACTAACCATACAACTACCATTCGACCCAACAGTTGCACTCTTAGACATTTATTTATTCCAGAGAAATGAAAACCCATGTTTACACAGAAATCTGTACACGTACGTTCATAGCAGTTTTATTCATAATAGCCCAGATGTCCTTCAAAGGATGATTACACAAAGCATGGGTACTCAGTAATGAAAAGGTAGTGATCATCGCAACAACTTAATCTCTAGGGAATTATGCTCAATGAAAAAAGCAATCCCAAGATATCACATACTGTGTGATTCTATCTTTAAATGATTTCCACTTTTGAAATAATAAAAGTATAAATATGGAGACTAGCAGTTGCCAGGGGTGGTCGGAAGGGAGGAAGGTATGGCTACTAACGGGCAGCTAGAGATCCTTGTGATGGAAATGTCCTCTATTTTGACTATCATTGTCAATATTCTGGTTGTGACATAGTATTGCAGTTCTGCAATATGTTACTATTGAGGGAAACTGAGTGAAGGGTACTTGGGAATCTCTGTATTGTATTTTACAACTGCATGTGTGTCTACAATTATCTCAAAACAAAAAATGTTCTTAAAAAAAAGTATGTCTTCTTTTAGTCAGTTATCACGTCTGGAAATTTGTCCTAGGGATACAATCTAAAAGAATAAAAAATGTTAAATGCACCAGATGTTCACTACAGCGTTATTTACAACAGGGAAAAGAAACGATCCTAGTGTCCAAACAGAAAAAGTTAGACAAATCATGACATAGCCACTTGAGAATTAAGCAGTCTTTTGATGCAGCAGCCAAGAAATGTTATTTGAAAAGGGAGGATACAAAATTGTAGTACAATACAACAGCTCCGTGAAGGGGACTGGAATATATTACAAAAGTTTCAAGAGTATTCCACGTGGAATTCTAGCAGAAATGTTTTCCTTCTCTCAAACTTTCCATAATGTTGTTACATGGTTTTTACATGGTTTGGGAATGAGGGTGGGGGAAATAACAGTAAAGAGCATTTTTTGTTAAATTACAAATGCTTGAGTCACAATAAGTTTTTTAAATTCGTCCCTCCAGCAGCCCGCAGTCTTGATCCCAGCGCTGGTACCATTAGGCACCCGGTTGGTCCGCTGGTGCTGCTCCAGAGCTGTATGCACAAACCCCAATCCAAGACCCCCCCAGAAGTCCAGGAAAGGGACTCCGAGCGAGGGCAAGACCGCTGGCGGGTGGTACACTGACTGCACCAAGGTCACCATCGAGTCGGCAGCCGCAGCTCGGCCTGGCTAGGGATCCCCCGACTCTGAGTCGGGGTCTCGCTCTCTGTCCGGCGCTTCTCGCCGCAACCCGAGCCGCGACCCCACTGCCCCAAAGCCCCTTCGCGGAGAATCCCCACAAAGTGACGGCCGCCAAGGCCCCAAGACCCAGAGATAGGCATCTCCGCCGCCCCGCGTCGGGCTAAGACCCTCCCGAGCGCTGCACGGTAGCATAACTAGGACCAGACCCCTCTTCCTTTTTCGCCCTCTCAACCCAGCTTTTCCCGACTCCGGGAAGAACCGGGAAGAGAAGGCGGAGGCGAGCGGGGCGCCGCCGGATAAATACTGTGGCCGGCCCCGCCCACCGACCTCACTTCCGCCTCGCGGCAAGATGGCGGCGCCCGGACCCCGCCACGCAGACTTCCGCCTGGTGCTGAGACCCAGGGCCAGCTGTGTGTCGCGCCGGAGCTGAAGTCGGAACGCACGCGGTGTGGAGCCGCAGCTTGGGTGCGTTGGTGTGCGTCCCCGCCTCGTGCCTGGCCGGGGCCTGGGGGTAGGGTGCGCCAAGGGCTCTGGCCGGGTGGTTCCGGGAGTCGCCACGTGGGAGGGGAGGAGCTGAGACGCCGCGGGAGAGACGCACTGACTTAGGGGCGGACAGCCAGGTGGGTGGGGTTCCGCCTAGGGTCCGCGTGTCCGTCCCCTCTACTGACTTTGTCCCTTTCCACTTCTCTCCCAGGCAACATGTCTGAAGGAAACGCCGCGGGCGAGCCCAGCGCTCCGGGGGGGCCCCGACCCCTCCTCTCTGGGGCCCGGGGGCTAATCGGGCGGCGGCCGGCTCCTCCCCTCACCCCGGGCCGACTTCCCTCCATTCGCTCCAGGGACCTCACCCTCGGGGGAGTCAAGAAGGTACCCAGCTATCTTGAATTCCAGGCCCCTAGGGTTCAACTGATGTTCTTGTAGGGCCTACCATGTGCTAGGCGTGGCGTTGGGTCTCACAGATCTCGTCCCTAGACTTTTACCTACAAATTCTGGGGAGCCTGTTTTATCTTCAGGTCTAGATGTTGGATACAAGCTGTTGACATGGTTCTCAGCGTTGGCTGAAGGGCAGAGAATCCTCATTAGATCAACATCTTGAGCAGTGCTTATTTTTTATGTGTTTTAGACACCTTTAAGAAACTCATGAAAGTCATGAGAGTATACACTTTGCCTGCAGTTTTAGAGAGTTCTGAATTCGCCATGGATCTCAATGTGCAAACCTATGGTCTAGAGTAGAATGAATCTTAGGAATGGCATTAGATGCTCTGTTTCTCTCCTATTATGTTTATGACTATAGATATAAAGAGTAGCCCGGAAAGCGGGGAGGTAAGGGGAATGACAAGCATTAAACAGCCAGTTTTTAAAGGCTTAAGTTTGCCTAGGGAAATTCTGGTGGCAGTCTAACCCATCATCTGTTTGCCTTTCAGAGGGCAGAAGCTGAGGCTGCTAGTTTAAATGGTTTTTGGTGCCCCTTCTGTGTGTAACTCTGCTGTCATCATGACATGACTTTCCTCCTTTTCAAGCATGAGTTTATCACTATAAATCTTTGACAACAGTGTGGAATGTGCAGAAGAGATCCATGGTTTCGGTCCATAGAAGATGCCCTTTGGGAGTTTTTCTTTTCCTCTGTACTTTGGGGTCAGAATTTACCAAATCAGTGACTCCTGTATTTTACTTTCAGAAAACCTTCACCCCAAATATCATCAGTCGGAAGATCAAGGAAGAGTAAGTAGCTAGGCCTTCTGAGTACTTACTCCATATTTACTTACTCTGAATTTGCGCATTTTGAGAAATAACTAGGTATGTAGCTCAGAAATTTATATTGGTGTATTTAGTTCTTTTCACTGGTGATTGTCAACTCTGGCTTCCAGGTGATTCTAATGTGCAAGCTTTGAAAAAATACTGATACCTGGGAGTCTGTCCCAGAAGTTGTGCTTTAACTTGTTGCAATGAAACAGTGATTATCTTTTACAGCCAGAGTTGACAGTCACTAGTTTAGACAGAGATCTATCAGGTTTTCCCTTAAGTTGTTTTGAATTACAGCCTTCCTGCTTTCAGTCAATACAAAAAATCCACATTTGGGGGCAATCTCAATAATTTAATTTTTGAGCGATAGTTCCAATATATACTCTCAAACAAGAAGATAAAGTAAAGCCAACTGAAAGGACTGCCCCATCAAGGAAGTGAAAAAGGTACTAAGGATTGGGTTCTGTTTCTTATGAGGTAGTTATTGGCTCAGGTGGAATAGAGTGATGTGAGAGAATAAGCAGTTCTCTGAGGCAGGGCGAGTGGTTTCCCTTAACTCATTCTCTTTGACAGGCCCAAGGAAGAAGTAACCATCAAGAAGGAGAAGCGTGACAGAGAGAGAGACCGACAGCGAGAGGGGCATGGACGGGGCCGGGGTCGCCCAGAAGTGATCCAGTCCCACTCCATCTTTGAGCAGGGCCCAGCCGAAATGATGAAGAAAAAGGGTACAGAGCTGCCGAGGAGGAAGGGCTCAGTGGATTTCAGTTCAGACTGCCTGAAAGAAGGGCAAGGGCAGTGGAATTCCCCTGCTCCCAGTTTAGTTTTCCTTGCTTTTGGCCCCTTCCTTACCCCTGATGAGCTGGTTTTTTCCTACAGGGAACTGGGATAAGACAGTGGATCTGTCGGACATGGGGCCCTCTCATATCATCAACATCAAAAAAGAGAAGAGGGAGACGGATGAAGAAACAAAACATATCCTGCGCATGCTGGAGAAGGATGATGTAGGTGCCAGCATGCTGTGGGGAACAGCCCTTCTTTGCAGCTGTGGAAAGGGCCTCTGGGAGCCAGGGTTGGGGGAAGAAGAGCTCTCTGATGTCCTGGAAGCCTGGTGAGCAGCAGGCTTCAGTTTGAAAGGGGCTAAGATGAACTGCAGTCCAGTTATGTGTGTATGCTAGCCATGCCATGTGACCCCGTCTCTTCTTTGGCAGTTCATTGATGACCCCGGGCTGAAGAATGACACCCGAAACATGCCTGTGCAGCTGCCGCTGGCTCACTCAGGGTGGCTGTTTAAAGAAGAGAACGAAGAACCAGATGTTAAGCCTTGGCTGGCTGGCCCCAAGGAAGAGGACATGGAGGTGGATGTGCCTGTTGTGAAAGGTACTCTGTGCCAGTTAACATCTCGTTTCCTTTTCTGTGGCTGCCCTCCACCAGGAACGCCCTTCCCCAAGAATGAGCCTCTCAGACTGCTGCTGATAAACAGGTCCCCTTCCATCCCAGCTGTAAAATGTGTGGCCTGAACAAAGACACCAAAGCCTCACACTCACAGGGTTCATGCTGACATGTACCTGTTGGCTCAGCCTCAGTTATCTTTTGATAAGTCACACAACTCCTGGATCCCTCTTCCCAACCAATGAATACTTCCCTCCAGCTTCATGGCTGAGTGACAGTGGAGCAGGTGCGGGTGAAGGTATGGGTACAATGAGATGGCGTAGAGGGTGGCCACTTGATAGTCCTTCCACTTGTGTTACCTTGGACAGTGAAAGAGGAGCCACGAGATGAGGAGGAGGACGCCAAGATGAAGGCTCCTCCCAGAGCAGCCAGAAAGACCCCCGGCCTCCCGAAGGACGTGTCTGTGGCAGAGCTGCTCAGGGAGCTGAGCCTCACGCAGGAGGAAGAGCTTCTGTTCCTCCAGCTGCCAGACACGCTCCCTGGCCAGCCACCGACTCAGGACATCAAGCCTATCAAGACAGAGGTGCAGAACGAGGATGGACAGATGGTGGTTATGAAGCAGGAGAAAGACCGGGTACGCGCAGGAGTGAGGTCTGTGAAAATGCAGGGGGGTCAGGGAGTGAAGCAGCCACCTGTAAGGGGAAGCAAAGATGCGCCACTCAAGCCAAAACGCAAGAGTAATCCGCAGTTGTTCTTTCTTCCCGTAAGGGCTTTGGGGCTTTATACTTCCACCCCAATAATGTATCTGTTTACTTTTTATAGTGAAATATTTTGAACGTGTACAAATGAGAGAACATACACTGTCATGCGCCATCACCCAGTTCAGCAGTTACAGATAATTTGTCCACTTGTTTATATGTTCACTGTGGATCTTGTTTTTTAACCAGTGGCAGGCAGCCCTAGGAAAAGGCCCTCTTAGGGAAGCTCATGCCAACTTTTGCTGCTCCCTTCCTTTGGGAAAGGGTTTGTTCATGAAGGATGGAGGAAAAAGTTCCTTACCCCGTTTCCATCCTCGAATCTCTTCACAGGAAGCCAGGCTGGCAGAGAACACTTGCACCCTGGCTGACCTGACAGAGGGTCAGGTTGGAAAGCTGCTCATCCGCAAGTCGGGAAAGGTGCAGCTCCTCCTGGGCAAGGTGACTCTGGACGTGACAATGGGAACTGCCTGCTCTTTCCTGCAGGTGAGAGCCTGTAGGGTCAGGGCAGAGGCTCTTTCAGAGATTAAAGAGTATTGACAGATCAGTGCTTAACAAGGGAGGAGACTTCTCCGGATTGTCACGTTAAAATTAGGATCTAGTGATGGCTGTGTGGTTTTGGTTCTCATCACCTTCTTTGTTGATTGGCAGGAGCTGGTGTCTGTGGGCCTTGGAGACAGTAGGACAGGAGAGATGACAGTCCTGGGACACATAAAGCACAAACTTGTATGTTCTCCCGATTTTGAATCCCTCTTGGATCACAAACACCGGTAAAATGAGCAGATGGAAGATGGTGGTGACTGTGCCCACGGCTGCTGCTTGCCCCAGACGTTTTGTTCTAAAATCTGTGCGACCCAGAAGGGGCCTGTTAGCCCACCCACTCCAGCCTTTGGCAGCCATTGTCCCACTTTTCCCCACAGGGCCCACGTGGCTCCCTCCCACAGCAGCTGACCTTCCCACAGCATAGATAATGCAGGTCCTTGCTGCTGGGGGACTCGTCCCTTCTATTTATTTTTTATGTCTCATCTCTTCAACTGACTGCATCTTCCCCAGGTGGAGAGGGGAAGGCCCATGGAAAAGTACAGGTTCCGATTCATGGTGACTGTCTTGGTTCTCACGGTGGGAGGCGTAAGGACCGTCACAGCTTCTCTCTCTCTCCCTCCTCCCTGAGATGAGTGTCTGAGCAGAGAATTTTTGTGTCTGAGGCTCGGCACTCAGTCCCAGCTCTGTCAGTAACTAGTTGTGTGACCTTGGACAAACTACCTAACCTTTCTGAGCCTCTTGTTCCTTATTTGATAGAAATGAGGACAATACCTACCTCACAAGGTTGGTGTGAGGATTAAATGGAACATTATAGATGAAATCTCCTTGCACAAGGCCAGACATACAAAGTAGGCGCTCAATAAATGTTAGTTTCCCTTCCCTTCGCCTGAGTCTGTTTTCAAACAAAATAGAGACTCCGAGAATCTCGGAGAAAGTAAACAGAGCTGCTTCATCCCTGCATTTTTACTCCACGTTGCATCCCCAGGCCTGGTGCTCTGAAGGGACAGGTTCAGGCCTTCTGTGCCCTCTTTCTCCTGAGCACTCTTAGCCAAGTGCTTCCTGTTCATTGCTGTGAGGTCTTAGCTATAGGTTCTATCAGAAGTGAAGAAGTCGGAGATTTCCTCCCAGCACCCTATGAATGCCTTTGGGTGACACTGTGGTCCCAGGACTCATTCCTCCCACCCTCACTCCTGCAAAAAGTAGCAGTACTCTTCTAGCTTGCATTTATGTTACTTCTCAAAAGAGAGATTAATACTCATGGAGAGTCATCACCACACTAAGTCAAATACTGCTGAAAACAACTCTTAGTAAGATAGAAGAGGTTTATTAAATAATGGCCTCTGACACTTGACAGATGACCCCCTACTTCAGAAGCTTTGAATTTGAGAGGTGCGATTCTGTCTCCTGTCCTAGCATCACCCAGTCCACCCACTCAGCTTGAATCCCAATTCTTACTGGCCACGCTGGCCTTTTAGTTCGTGGGTCTGTGCTCTTGTTTCTTTCTCTAGGTCAGCACACTCTTCATCTTTCCAATGTGTAGTCCCTGGATGGGGCGGCTTCTCTGCCCCCACCCCTTATTCACGAGGCTGGGG